TTGTGCAGCCCCACAGGGCCAAGTCCCACAGTCTGTGCAGTGCTGGGAAAAGGCTGTGCACAATTTGCTCCTCACCCAGCCTGGTGCCAGCTGACAAGGACTGGAACAGCAGCCCCATTTAAATCAGCCCACACTGGAGCCAGCCTTGGCCTCCTGAGACCAGCTGGTCTGAAGCATGATTTCAGATACCGGACCTGAATTGGGAATAATTTTCTTTCCATCAGATTTTTATCAGATTACTCCCTCCTTGGGGGTGAGAAGCAGTGAAGGTGAGCTGAGACAGCAGCCCCAGGACTGCACTGTTTGCCAGGCAACAGCCCCCACTGTTTGTGCAGCCAGGGACAGAGGGAGGGATGATACAGCAGTCCTGGAGGAGAGAACGCTGGGTTTTAAAGCACACTGAAGAATAAGAAGCAGATAAGAGGACAACTGCCAAGTAAGACTTATTTTTTTTTGGCAGGACTCCAGCATCTGGAGTTGCAGCTCCTGAAGGTACAGGAACAGTTAAACGAAATGCTCTGACAGACTACTTAGAAAGGGTCAACAGACAGAGAGAGAAAGCCTGTCCTCCAAATTAACTCCTGGCAGGGAAGGCTCAGCTCCACATGGTTTGGGAAGCAAGGGGGTAAGGACTGAAAGGCACTGGAGAGCCTCATGATTCCAATCCCCTCCTTTCCACACAGAGGCAGGTAAAGAGGAAAATCCATCCAGCCCTGCAGCAGCAGGCAGTGCCTGTATCTAGGTGACCTGTTTATCCTGCAGCTGGACAAACATTAGGAGGCAGACAGCATCACTGTGACTATTACTCTTATCGCAGCTGGCTTTGCTGCAAGTAATCAACTTCCAGAAATAAGATTTCCACCCTGTGTGTACAACGGCTCAGATGCAATCCTGAGCTCTGTTTGCCTTCAGTGCCTGCTGACAGAGCCTGGTTCCCTTTGGCACAGCATGGAATAGCCTCATCCATTATGTTGGCATGTATCAATGGGGAGTGGGGGTAGAAATAAAACTGCTCAAATTGCTAGCATCAGCTTCTGCTTTTAGAATTAGTATGTCACTTTGTACTTTGGCTCATTCCACTTCTTTTTAAAGCATACCTTTATCAGCTGCATTACATTTCACCTCTAATTTACATAGACAAGAAAGTACCAGCTGAGCAGTCAGCAGTTACTGTGGTTTCCTTACGCCAGCTGATAACAAATAATGAAAATACTGGTGGGGAAATGAGATATCTTCTGGAACGAGGACTTTTCTTCCTCTTAAGCAAGCCCCTTCTGTAAAGAAGAACCTGCTCCCTACACAATGCTGCACACAGGAACCACATTGCTAAAGCTGTGTGTTTCCCAGCTCTGTTCTGGGGCAGGCACATCTGGTGCAGGCACTGTGGCACATCTGCCCTGTTCCAGGAACTCTCACCCACATGGACTTTGTGTGGGCAGACACAGAGTCAGCCCTCAGCCTTTGCAGCAGGAAAACTGCAGACAGGGATCAGCACGTCAGTTCCCAGAGCTAGGCAGCTGAATCAGACACCCTGAAGAATAACGTCCCTCAGGCCCAGCATACACATCACCATCTCTGAAGGCAAAGGGCAAGCTGTTTATTTCTAATGAACAACAACCAAGTCAGTTGCCAGCCCTAGCAAGATGTGAGACGTGGGGCTTCTTTGGAGACTTTGGAATCAGTAACCTGGTGAAGCCTAAAAGCCATCCATCCAAAAAAACAAACCCATGAGGGCTTCTGTGCCACCTCAGCCAGTCACCAGTGAGTCTCCAGCTTTCTGCTCCTTTATATGGGAAAAAACATTTGCTTTGAGGCCTTTCACACCCTGAGGGGATACAAGCTTGTACTCCATCCCCTCTGGGAGAAGGGGCCAAGGAACACTGGGATCAGCTGCAGTCTCCCTGTCCCACAGTGCCCTGTGGGGGTGGCCACATGGCAGTCATACGGCCCCAGCACTGTCTTAACACATAACCACAAGCTGATTTCTGCACCCCAGACATCCTTGTGGTTGCTAATCCTGCACAGACAGCCCAGAGGGGAGCACACGTGTTGTCCTTGTTCAGAGCTGGTCTGGACTGCAGCTTCCCCCAACAAGCCTTTAGGTTTGTCCCCCTATCCAATGGCATACTGAAAAGGTGGTGACATCCCTTTCTCAGCTATTTGTTTCAGAGTCACTGCTCACTGGACAGGAAGAACTTTCTCCTTCCTACCCTTAGCAGCACTCAGGTTAAGCTGCTTCCCTGTTAAGTCTCAAATGCAGCTTTAATACAGAAAGTGAGGCATGTGAAGTTTTTTTACTTCTCCAAGGAATGGAAACAATGGACAGCCTATGTCCATTGCTACTCCTGATAGGCTACAAATTACGATGAAACAACACCATCACCATAAAATGCTACTTTATCATCAGATTCTGAGAGCTCAACAGTAATTATTTCCATCTGTGTGATCCACTCAAGACCAAAATATGATACATAATTACTTCTACACATTAGCATTAGCATATTGGCTACAATCTACAACATAAGAGCCCGCTTTGCAGCCTGCCCACACAGTAAAATAATGTAAAGCATAGAATGCAAAGTATAGCAAATTTCCTAGTTTTCACTGTGGACACACATTTGCTCAGAAATACTAATGTACTACCAGGAGTAGCTTAATTCATTAGATTAAGCAAAGTCACGTAGGAGAGCAAAACATCCGCTCTGAAAGGAAAGCATCCACACAGCAGCTCTTCCCAGATAATTGTTTGGAAACACCACAGGAACTGACAAGCCACATGAAATCACACTGGACCAGCTAGGCTGACTGCAACGCCTTGATTAAATTTAGATGTCAATTTTTTGTATTAGAAGTTCAGCCACACCAACAGATACATAGCACCAGTGTAACAGATTTATAAAAGATTAGTTTTTTTAGAGACATCCACTCTAAACTAGACACTCCTGGAGTTCCTAAACAAAGCCCCTTTGAAAGCTCTTTTACAGTGTCACAGAACAAAGCTCAGGTTCCAGTTTGACAGACTAGCAAGGAGCAAGGCGGGGAGGGGAAGAGTGTTTAACAGAAGGAGAATGAAGAAAAAGAAAGCTTTTGCAGACAAATGCAAAGTTATAGCCCTGACTTCACTTTGCAGACATGAATAAATGTGTTTAAAATAAATATGTGCCATCCAGAGGGACCTGGACAGGCTGGAGAGGTGAGGGAATGTGAATCTCATGAAGTTCAGCTGGGCCAAGCAGAAGCTCCTGTACCTGGGAAGGGGCAATCCCAAATACAAACACAGACTGGGCGGAGCATGGATGGACAGCAGCTCTGGGGAGGACTTGGAGGCAGGGTTAGATGGATTTTGGGGAGAAATTCTTCCCCGTGAGGGTGGGGAGGCCCTGGCACAGGGTGCCCCATCACAAGAATTGTTCAAGGCCAGGCTGGATGGGATAGTGGAAGGTGTCCCTGCCCATGGCAGGGGGGTTGGAATAGGCTGATCTTGACGTTCCTTCCAACTCAAACCATGCTGCAATTCTATCCCTTTTTTACATCTACTTCTGCAAAAGCACAGCAAATCAGAGGCTCCCAAGGTGGATTCAGAGACCACCTGCAGCTGCAGGAAGGCAGTTCAAGGGGCAAGACTTACCAGAAGGTTTTTGATTTATGGGTTACAGAGCTGCTTCTGCAGAGCTGAAGTTGTGTTACTTTAGGCTTAACAAAATCAAACCTCCTGAAGAACAAGCCTGAGCTTCCAGTGAAACACACTCAAATACATCACTGCTTGTCCCCTCCAATTTCTTTGTGCTGGCCCACAGGTTTGTGAGCAGAGCAGAGGACATTCAGTGTCATCAGTTCCCTGATCCAGTTTGATACGAGATCCTTCAAGCTTCCAAGGCAGCAGAACTATCTCAAAGCCACAGCCCCTGTGTCCCCTCAGCCTCTGCCAGCACATCCCTTTGTGTGGCTATAGCAAAAAAGCAACACTGGCACCAAGCAAAGATGTTCAACATGGAAGACAAGGAGTTGTCCCCTGCCTAGTACTAAAACATCTCTTAGCCACCCCAAAACCCCAGGGAAAACCCTGATTACACTTTGAGTCTGTGGTGGAAGTGGTGGGAAGCATAACCATGCTGCTGCCTCCTCCTCCTCCTCAAAGGCAGGGCTCTCACTCTGTTACAGAGGAAGTTGAACTCATGATTTGCCCTCAATTCAGGTTCTTATTCCCTCACACCAATTGTTCACTGCTAAAATTGGGGCCCTCCTGATAGACCCACATCACACTGTTCAAACCCACTGAACAGTCCCATCTCTCTCAGCTTCTCCTCACAGAAAGGAGGAGAAGCTCTGGTCCTTTAATCATCTCCTCTGCCTCTGCTCTGGCAATCTGAGCCTGCAGCAAGCCCCAGGAGAGCAGCGGGTGCCAGGGCATACCAGTGTGCCACACTGTGGGGACGTGGCACACAGATGGATCAGACAACTGCCAGAGGGATGGTGCACCATCCTCCCTCCCTTCCCCAGAAACCAGGGTTTTTCCACAGAATGATAACAACTTCAGGAAAAAGCAAAATGTCCAGGAATGAGTAGATCACTTGGACAGATACTGATGGGCTCAAGAAAACCTAGGCCCATTAATTCAGTAGGAATTGTACATTTGAATATTATAAGCTTTAACTGTGCAGCCTTTGGCTGAAAATTATCAACCAAGAGACAGGTGGAATGAGAGTTGTGGCAAGTCCAAAGCCTGTGCAACAACCTCAGCATAAGGATTTCCTTGAGGAATCAGCAGTAAGGATGCTCAGCAGTATTCTCCAACAACCTGAGAGAGAACTGTGAGAGACACTACAGCAAAATAAAGCATGAAAACAAGCTGTAAACAAAACGGCCATTTCAAACAAGTCCCCACCTCCTCCAAGGCCATTATGGTCAGGTGCTGGTGAACACTTTCCTTCAAGGTCAGCATGCACTCACGTGAGGCAAACCAGCGTCCCTGACACGCTGCTGCAGCTGCTCAGCCATACCTGTGTTTTTCGGCCCGTCTGCGTACACTGGTCCTGGCGGTGGTGGAGGAGCGTTCTGCCATCCATACTGGGGATATCCTTGGTAGCCTGGCTGGCCTGGCTGGTAGGGCCCGGGGGGATAGCCAGGGTAGGGGCCAGGGGGGCCCCCTGGCTGCTGTGCATAGGGTGGGTACGGGGCAGTCGGGCCCGGGCCGGGGTACGGTGGAGGATTATCGTAGCTCATGTGGGATGCAGAATCTGTCCTGCAAAAGAGGGAAACAAACAGGACAACTGGTTTGCTTTCGTCTGCTCATCCATGACCGTATGAGTTCCATTTCACACTGCTCTCCAAGGGCCCTACATCGTGTGAGAAACAGACTTCAAAATACCTAGTTAAGCAGCAAATTTATTTTTAACCCTAGCACAGGGGCAGAGAGGGAGTTGAAGTGATTTCTCCAAGTGATGTAAGTTTAGCTGAGCAGCTATTCACCCTAAGACCTAAGTCTTGCAGCAGCAAAGCAAAACCCTCTGCTTCCACTCATGAATTAAAATGCTTTCAAGAGAGATTCAGAAGTGGTTATTTCCTGTTTCTGTCAATATTGGAAAGGAAAACAATACAAAAATGCAGCCTGTTCCGGGCATATTTGATAGCTTTGACAGGAGAAGGAGTGAACACAAATGTCCATTACACTTCTGCTAATTGTTAAAGCCTCCAGACCACTCTGGAGCAAGGCTGTATATGAATAATTTCCTGATGACACTGTACCCCAGCACGTTGTGTAGTCTTCCAGTCATACACAACTGAATCATTAAGCGGCCACAAGAAATTAGGGCCTTGGGCTCAGCCTCATTCAAAAAGCAACACTAAAGATACCTCAGAGAGTTGATTCTCATGAAACCCATGTTATGTATTACTCATGGCACAGCCATCAGAAGACACGACTGGCACAATACTGCAATTTTAATGAACCTCTAAGCAGCATGACTAAGCAAACCATTTCTTACATTAGGCTCCTGAAGCTTCTCCCTGTCTGAGAAACAGAAGTGTATGTTAATATCCTACAAATTCAGGAACCTTCCTGGCTGAAGCAGCTGAACCCTGCTATTTCCTTCCCCTATCGCAGGGTGCAGACAGATCACCAGTTCCCTTTGCTACACACCTCCTCCCCCACGCCACGGGGAGCAATACCAGGAGCACACTCTGGCTTGCAGTGGGAGAGGCCGGCCAGCAGGAGCCCCTCTGGATGGCACTGGGATGGGCTGGCTGCTCAGCCCTCTCGGGGACGGGCAGCAGGAACCACGGGCACATCCAGCGAGCCGGGGCTGAGGCACCCCGAAGGATTCCAGCCTGGCACGGCGAGCGGAGCCCAGCGCCCGGGCGGCCGCAGTCCCCGTGGCTCCGTGTGTGCACAGCCGCTGCCCGAGCGCCTCGCAGCGCCGGCTGCCCTCCCCGAGCACGGATCCCAAGGCTCTCGCTTGTTTACACGTTGCTCCTGCCCGAAGGTCGCCAGCACGATGGTGCCAAGCGGCACGGTGCACACAGCCCGGCTGATCCCACGCAGTGCCTGCGACACAGGGCTGCTCCAAGGGGACCGGGGCTGCTCCAAGGGGACCGGGGCTGCTCCAAGGGGACCGGGGCTGCCAACCCTGTCCTGCAGGACACCGAGCAGCCCTTGAGGCTCGCAGGCTGCAGCTGTCACTCACCTGAATTCATCCCAGCGCTCCTCCCGGTGTGCCAGGCACAGTCACAGGATCACAAACATGCCGAGTTGGACAAGGACCATCCAGTTCAATCCCTGGTTCTGCACAGACACCCCAACAGCCCCACCCTGTGCCTGGGAGCATTGTCCAAGAGCTCCTGGAGCTCTGGCAGCCTGGGGGCTGTGACCATTCCCTGGTCAGTGCCCCCCAGTACCCTCTGGGGGAAGAGGCTTTTCCTGATCTCCAATCTAACCCTGCCCTGACACAGCTCCAGCCGTTCCCTGGGTCCTGTCACTGGTCACAAAGTGAACGGATCAGTGTCTGTCACCCCTCTTTCCTTCACAAAGAAGTTGTCCCAGCTAACTGCTAAGGCAGTGCTATACCCTGCAGACAATGCCTTTTAATGGCTTTGTCAAGAGTTTTAACTGCTTAACCAAATGCCAGGGATTACAGGAATTTTATTTATGTTTTGTTTTTTTTCCCCACTGCTAGGCCAGCCAGACCACTTAACTGCTCACTTTAAAACTGACAAGCACAACATACACTTAACTCAAGGCTCTTTAACCACTGCACTGCAATGCAACGTCCCTACCAAGTCTCCAGCAAGGAAATTCTTCCTTAGGGGGGCAGGGAAAGGCAGGCAGCAAGCCCTACAAATCACTTCAATGCAATCAATTAGAGAACTGGGACGTACCAGGCCACTAACGCTCATCTAACCCAGAAAATTGTCCCAAAATAACATCCAAAAGCAAGTTTCCAGGGAAGAACAAGGCCAGAGCGAGTGTGTGTGTATACCCACACACCACTGCATGTTACAGAGGAACTACTTGGTGCACAGAGAGCCCTGTGAAGCCCCTGGTTTGCTCAGCCTCCCTGACCCCATGTACAGCTTCCATGCCTGCTCCTGGCATGAGGGGATCCTGGGCACTGCTGCCTGCCTTGTGGAAAACTGCCTCCTGCCCCATCAGGGTGGCTGCAGGAGCTCACCCTCCTGAATTTAGGGGTGCACCAAACCAGGGAGGTGGCATGTGGGAATGCCCTGCTCCAGATCAAAGAGCCCCAGCCCACTGCCTGCTCCTTGGGCAGGGGACAAGCTCTCCATCCATGTCCCCCTTCTCTGTTCAAGGGTGTAATTTCACACCCTAGGTACAAATACATGTGTTTTTATATGGACACACACACAAGGCATTCAAAGGCAGCAAACAACAGACCATGTTTTGTTCATAAACCTCAAGCACTCCCTGGGCTTCGATGAGCACTGTCCAGCTCCAGCAGATGCACCTGGATTACTTCAGTTTTCAATGTCCTTCTGCCCAAGAGGATGGTCAACTCAGCCCACGATTCCCAGGGAAGGTCAGTCTTCCTTTCTGTCCCTTCAGATGCATAAATTCATTTATCTACATTCAATATCACTGGCATTTTAGTGCTGAAGCAAGGTTTAACAGATGCTGTGATTCTTCAGCAGGCTGTGAACTCAAATTCAGTCAGCAAATTGTAACAAACTCAGCCATTCCACTGCTCCCTTACCAAGGGGACTCGTGCTGGGACTGCTGGGGGCCACCTTTCTCCATCAGGACTGGCCATTCACTCCCTTTGGAGCCTGCCTGGCCTCGGTGCAAGCACCCGGCACGGGAACATGCCAGAATCGCTCTGGAGCCAGTGGAACCACCCAGGTAACAAAGCAGCTCTGCAGAAAGAGCCGAGATGGGGATCAGGTGTACGTGGTACAGCTCAGAAACCCCTGAGTGTGGTAAGAGGACAGCCTGGTTAAAACCAACATGGGGATGAACAAAAAAACCTGCACACCAGCAGCTCTGCAGAAAGGTCTGTGAAAGGGTCAGAAGGAGTTAAAAATCCAGTGGCTTGAGCAAACAGAGAAGTGGCAGCACAGGGAACAAGAAAGAACCACTCGTGTTCTTTGTTTACCAGCTCCGTGTTAGCCATGTCAAAACAGTTTTGGAAGAGAAGACCGGTTTGGAGTGGAGGCAGTAACTGAGATTCCATCTGCTGATAGGGGAGAGGTACCGAGGGGAAAACTGGCCAGAACCTACTGACAGCTGTACAGATGCCTGGGCAGAGACAGCAGAACAACAGAACAGAGGAAAAGATGGAGACTAAGAAGAGCATATTCCACAACTGAGGGTAAAGTAATATAACTGAGATTAGGCAAGTGATAAAAGAGTGTCCAGCATGAACACTTTCAGCAGCCACTGGGGATTTGTCTGTGAAGAGTGAGAAAACTCCTGAAGATTCACCAGGCATTCAGCAAGGCCAGGTGGGAGCTGTGGAACCTCAGTTCTCGGAAAGAATCTTTCCTTTTCCCGCAGTTTCACTGCCAGTCATTGCTACACATACACACATTCCTACTTGCCCTTTTTGAGCTGTGTGACAACACTGAGATTTCCTTCAGTCTCATGACCTCATACATGACTTCACACACTTCCTAGCCCTATTTACTCACATGGATATGTGTTTGCATGGCAGGGTTTTGAATCATGAAGCAGATGCTTTTCAGAGACATACCTGAGCTCTTAGTCAAACGTATCACCAAGCTTTGCTGTGGGCTCTCACCCCAGCCAGTAAATCTGTGTGAGCTGCAACCAGGACCAGCCCCTGTGAGGTTGCATCAGAACTTGTATCTGTGGCTTTCCTGGTCACCACCTCTCAGAGACAAAGCTCAGAAGAAGGAAGCCAACCACCAGTAAAGCCTTTTGCCTTCCATGGCGCTGCAGGAGGTCCAGCAGGAAGAGCCACTACAGAGCTCAATGGTCCCTGCACAGCCTCACAAAGAGATTTCCTTGCAAACAAAGAGACTTCCTTGACTGTCACTAAGCATTTGCCCTGTCTGCTGCTGTTTAACAACAGAGAAATTGCTAATCCATCTGAAGAGAATGGCAAACCACGCTCCTATTCCTCCTCCCCAGCGCATCAGTGCTTTTGCTAAGGGGCAAGTTCATTGGTACATCATTGTTTCCTTAAGTTATATTCAAACTTCTTTGTTCCACACTGCTAAGTAAAGATTATTTCCCCTACCCCAAGAGCAGGGTTTCATTTTTAAACAAACTGCTTACCATACCCCAGCCAGAAGGCTGCAAAAGGTCTGCAAAGCAGAAGTCACTGAAGTATGGTGTTGTATAGAAAATGCACATGACCCCAGATGTGCATGTACACACAGAGGTACAACAGGCAAGAACCACCATCCTATGGGAGAATATCAGTCCCTCTACAGCTGTAACCTGGCTCTGGCTAAGGCTTAGCAAAAGGTGCAAGTACAGAACTATAATGCTTTGCATTCACTACACACGGATATATATTTAGCTTGTCTATTTTGGCAACCAATCCTTAGAGAAACAAATTTCACCATTAGGCTTTGAAAAGACTTCTGATTGCTTCACACTTACTGCCTTGTACAAGGCCAGCAAACCGAGGCAGCTGCTACACAACTAGTCAGTCATTGCTCCTGATCCTCCTCTTACAGCACACTCATGAATTTATTATCTTTTTCTTTTTTTCAGGCATGTCTCCTGAGCTGAAGACTGTGTGCTTCAACAGAACCTGCAACATTCCTTGATTATTCTTTCCAGCCGTCACTGTGCCTTTTAGTGTCACCATTTGTCTAGGAGGAAGCAGGCAGACTCTCTCTGCACTGTGCCACAGCTGTCTCCTGCTTCCCACCCCTTTCCCAGCCCACTCCCAGGGCAGCTCTTGCCATCCATCAAGCTAAAAACAGAGCTCAAGTTGCACTGTACGTCACTGCAACTGCGAGATCCTTCCAAGTGGGAATAGCTCCTGTAGAGCCTGGCACTGCACACGTACAGCTCACCACACTGCTCACCCAGCGACAAGACACAGCCTCTTCCTGGAAACAGCCTCAGCTTCAGCCTGGGGAAGGCTCATCATCCACAAGCTGCCACCTCTAAAACTAGGAACAAAGGAACAGGAAGCCTAATTTAGATGGCTGTTGGCTACATCACTCCATAAGTGCAGCCCTATGGCACAGCATGGGGGCCTGGACAGGGAGGACTTTTGGTCAGAGGGTAACACGATACATGAAAACAACCAAGAATGAAGAGAATAGGGAACGCATGTTGGAGGAACACTTTTCTGTTGGCACAAGGGTTGTCCAAACAAAAACCCCTCAGAGCCTGCCAAGATGACCCAGTTTCACCCTTTTTCCTTCCTCCAAAAGGCCACGTACAAGGCTGGCACTCCCAAACATCTCTTGAGGTCAGACTAATTATGGCCACCATAATTGTTGCCTAAATTATGGGAAAGCACTAGGAATCTGCTTCTACCTGTTGGTACCTTGTTACCTTGGCAAAACTGAGGAGAGCACTCATAAATCCATCAATCCATCTGCATTTTTACACAGTAGGTGTTCACAGCTACTAATCCACCTGCAAAGAAACACCAGTCCCTGTGGACAGCTGCCTGCAAGTAAGATCCTTCAAATGCAATCTCCAGTGCAGGCAAATCTATTAAATAAAGAACTGTGCATAGGGGTGAAAGGACAACTAACCAGGGCGCTGAAACAGGGTGAAACGCCTTCTCTTGCACAGGGAACAGTGCAAGAAACAGCCCTATGAAAACAAATGGGGGATTAGTAAATGAAACAAACAAACAAACCAAAGAAAATCAGCAGTCTGGAACACAGAAGAAAACCCCCCACAACGACCCAAAAACAATTAGCAGATTTCTGGAATTTAAAGGTGAGAAGTTGCTTGTTTTTAGGACAGCAGAACAAGCATTGCACCTCATGCTGCTGTGGTCAGGAGGAATCACATTTTGGGTATGGCAGGTATTGATTCAGCTGGTCTTTGCAGAGATGAAGATGGAGGGCACGGTGAGAGGCCAGACCCTGAGAAGGACAACTGGGGCACC